GGTTTAGGGTTTAGGGCTTGGGAGTACCATACTTTAATACTTTTTTGGGGGACCTGTTCCTTAAAGGAACCATGATGAAATAAACGTCTATACTTGTTTCTCCCTGGTTACTTCAAAGCCCAGTTTCAGGGTGGCTGCGGGTAGAGGGCCTGTGTAGGATTTCTTGTGCAACCTTTCGTTTGGGGTTTAGGAGGGTTTAGGATTATTGAAATTTGCAATTGATTGTGATGGTAATATTCTGGAAGCTTTTGGGGTGCGTTTAAAGAGGAAAATACTCATGTATGTTTTCTTGCGGGCTTGTGTTTAGGCAGGGAGAGAATATGCTGCTGCTGCCCCAAAGTGGATGCGCAGGGCCCCCAGATGTCCCAGCACTTAAGAAGTTAAAATAGTAGGAATGTCGGTTAGTACTCGGGAGTATAGTTCGGTACTGGGACCCGGTAGGGAAGGGCTTCGCATTCAGGGTTGGAGCCCGAAGCCCTGATATTGCCTAGAGTCCTAAAGCCTTTAGCAAATCCAAAGCCGCACAATGGACCCTCCTGAAAACACTAAAGCTGTTAGCAAACCCTCATTTCCAATAATAAACCCCGAAACCCCTAAGCCCTAAACTCTAAACCCTAAACCCTGAAACCCTAAACCCTGGAACGCCTAAGCCTTAAGGTCCTTGAGTCCCTAAACCCGAAACCCTGAAACCCTAAACCCTAAGCCCCAAAACCCTAAACCCCAAATCCTGAAGCCCTAAACCCTAAACCCTAAACCCTAAGCCCTACACCCTAAACCCTAAGCCCTAAACCCTAAACCCTAAACCCTAAACCCTAAACCCTAAACCCTGAAGCCCCCTTAATTCAAAGCTCGAATGCAGGAGGAGCCTCTGCCACCAGGGTGGCAGCACCGGCAAGCGACGCACTCAGGAGCCTTCGGCAACTACGCCTGGCAGGAGCTGAGACCATGCAGACAGCGGGTTTTCGGGTTTAGGGCTCCAGGATGTTTGGGGTATAGGGTTTCAGGATTTTGGGGGTTTAGGGTTTCAGGATTTTGGGGTTAAGGGTTACAGGGTTTCAGGATTTTGGGGTTAAGGGTTTCAGGGTTTCAGGATTTTGGGGTTAAGGGTTTCAGGGTTTCAGGATTTTGGGGTTGAGGTGCTTGAGCACTTATACCCTCAGCCCGACATCGCTCGTCCAGGAGGAGATGAGACCCGAGGATGACTGGAGCTTTAAATCCGTCGCCCCGGAGCCCTCGAACAAACCGGACGCTCAGTGGGAACATGTGGCGAGAGTAGGTTTTAGGGTTTTTAGGGTTGAGATTTTAGAGGTGTTAGGGGCATCTGTAGGGGTATTGGGGGGTTTCGGGTTTTGGTGGTTTACAGAAGTTAGGTGGTATACTGGTTTACTGGTTTATATAGTGGTTTACAGGTTGCCTTGGATTCATGAATGAGTGTCACTACTGGGTATCAATATCTACATATGCAGAGTCTTAAGCGACTTCAGTGGTTCCGGTAAACCCCAAACCCTAGACCGTTTGCATCGACACCCGGTTTGCTTTTTTGGTATGGGGATCTTTCCTTTTTCGGGGTCTGTGGGCTGATAAGCAAGGCACACAGAACACGAGATGGAATGGTTTAGCAGGGCCACACGAATACCCCGAAACCCTAGGCCTCTTGTACGGTTTGTGTTCCTAATTTAGGTTACAGGCTACTGACCTGATATCATGCACTTAGTACAACCGCAACCGGCCACAACCTTCATGCTACACTTCGCAGGATGCCTGTTTTCTCAACAACCGTTGTCAAGGAAACGTTTCAAACACACTCGTGACTGAAAGTATACTCCTAAACCCTAAACCCTAAACCCTAAACCCCTAAACCCTAAACCGTATTTCCTTGCCTATGCCGAAAGCCTAGAGCCAAATCTAGAGCCGAGACAGCCGAAAGCCGACCTCCTCAGCTTGACTTTGAAGATCAACGGAGTACCTATAGTCTCCATTGTAGATCCTTTTGGGGGATACCTCATAAACTCCTTATTATATGTTTGGTTAAACCAAAAAAAGGAAGTAGAATGGAGACTATAGGTAAGACCAAAACCTTCAACGGCCTGAGCTGAGGCAGCCCCCCAATGGACAACTCCTGGTCCTGCAGAGTTGCCTTCCTTTCCCGCCGTGACTTGCCTCAAAAGGAATGTGTGGCCATAACATGCATGCAAGGTGTACCACGCGCAAGGTCATAAAGCCGCCAACGAATCAGGCACATTCCCCACACGGCGAAAGCCTAAACCCTACTGCCTATGCGTTCCGTATCATTTTTAGTTAATAGGTTGGGGTTTAGGAGCCGCATGCGTGCATGCATGCATTTGCATTTCGCACGATCGTATCCCCGATGGTGCAAGCATGCAGAATATGCAGGCAGGCAGGTTGGAACAGAATGGGTCGATTGCAGAAACAGCATCCAGAGAGGCGGCTTTGTCCACGGCCGCCCCGGATTCTGGATCCAGTTTTGGTGGCTACAGCGCCTCCACGCCGGTTCTCGATCCCGGTCGGCGTGTTGAAAACAGGGAAGCAATCATCTTCCTGTTGAGGGTTTACGGGAGGGCCCCTGGCCACGTTTGAGAGCCAAGATTTGGGTGGTTGTCAAAATTATGGTCCCTTTTTGGGTCCTTATTATAATACGGCACCTATTGTTATTTAGGGTACCCAAAAATGGACCATGATTATGACAACTACCCATTTATAGTTTAGGGCTTGGTTTTGAGGTTGGGCAAATCAGGGCCCGAAAGGGTTAGAGCTTACCCTAAGGGTCCAAGTACCTAATAATCATATACTCTCCCAAATAGTAACCAAAATAACCCATATCCGAAACCTAAGCACCTGATTATTGGGTCCTTTGGACCCTTGGGGTTAGGGCTTGGACAACCTGTGTAGGAGACCCATGGCATGACGATTGTTCTCCGCTACTGTAATGGCTACAGCCAGCGTGCCATGCCTGACACTTTCCAGATCGTCAGCAACTTCCCACCAAAAAAAGAATACACTGCATTGGTGTAGTTTAGGGTTTAAGATAAAGCCTGGTTTAGGGTTTAGGGTTTAAGGTTTAGGATTTAGGGTGAACATCCCTGAACAGTAAGCCCTGGCATGAACCCCTAAGCCCTGATACCTGTGCATCCTCAGACCCTGATACCATTACGCCCCTATACCCGCATATCCCTATTCCCCTCTGCTCCTATACCCTGATGCCCTTATACCTTTCAGCCATTCTTCTACCCTTGCGCCCTTAAACCCTAAACTCTAAACCCTAAACCCTAAACCCCTAAACCCTAAACCCTAAACCCCTAAACCCTAAGCCCCTAAACCCTAAACCCCTAAACCCCTAAACCCCTCTCCCTGTACAGGTGTGAATCGCAGTGGCGCACCGTCAGGCGGCAGGGCCGAGGCTGACCATCCTTTCAGTGCGGGCCGGACGAACCAGCGACTCGGCGAATGTGTGCGGAGGGATCGGAGGGTCCTAGGGTATGACGGTAGAATAAGGCCTATCAAATTGGAGCGTTGCAGGGCCCTAGACCCTAAACCCTATAGGGTTTAGGGTTCATAAACCCTAAACCCTATAGGGTTTAGTGTTTATAAACCCTGAACCCTAAACCCTAAACCCTAAGGTTTAGGGTATTCCCGACAGGGCTGTGCAAGGCTGTGACATCCTGCCGGGGGGCGGGAAAAAAATAAAAAATTCGGCTTTCCGGACCTGAGAATGGTACGGCTTGGGGTTTAGGGTAATGTAGGGCGCTATTAGGGGCACTAATGTTATTAATTAGAATAGGGTTTTGGGGCATATTATACATGATTATACTAGAACCCGAAATAATGTAGGGGCCCTAATATGAATTAGAATAGGGTTTTTGGGGTATATTATACATGATTATACTATAGCCCAAAATAATGTAGGTAATTACTAAGGCTCCTATATTACAGGTTCATGCGGGGATCCAACGTCGCTCGATTGTGTGGACGGAGGGTCTACGAGCCTGAATATGCAGCTCCAGGAATCCGTACACCCCGAACATCCCCGAACGGTAGTGACTCAAGGAACGGTTTAGGGTTTAGGGTTTAGGGCTTTAGGGTTTAGGGTTTAGGGTTTAGGGTTTCTATTCTACTAGGTACCCCCATAGTACGCTTTTGCCCTTTTTGGTTTGGGGTCCCCTTATTAGAACGTTACTGGAGAACCTAGTCTATGGTTGAGGAACATTGCAGCCTCGGTTTTCCTGAACCCTAAGCCCAAAGTCTAAAACCCAAAGCCTTAAACCTTCAGCCCTAACAGACTAAGCCCTATCGTCTCCATTTAGTTCCTTTTGTAGGTTTAGCCAGTTTTCTACTAAGGGTTTCCAAAGGAAAGGGACTACAATGGAGACTATAGGTAAACCCTATGAGC